ACTGTTAGCCTCCCACAAGAGCATAAACACAGATATTGAAAGAAGCATTTACAGACCTCAATAGCAATCTGACTGAGTGTCTTTATTTCTGTTGAATTTAATAACAAACAGGTTGAGCTCATTAAAAAAAAAAAAAACAAGAAAGAAAGGAAGAAAGAATCAGAGGTGCTTCCCCCTCAGTCTCCCAGGTGGAATAACCAAGGAAGACATGTATTGGCTCATCTTGAGACACCTCCTCATATATAGGAGGGCCAATGGCTGTGGCTCAGAGGCTGCAGGTCCATCAGAGGCTGACTCAGAATTGTATGTGGTTGCTTCAATTGGATGCTCCATAATACCCATAATGTTGTAAATAATTAAGATCTGACCTGTCAAGAATGAAAGTTTATAACCTGAAAAGAACAAAGTCAGATAAAACTGAATGAGTTAAGAGTAGCAGCTTCCGTTGGAAAGGGTCTTGAATAGGTGTTGTTTCTTGAACTTTCAGATTTAGACATTTGCATACTGAGTTTGGGTCCTTGCTTATGCTTTTCAAAGAATTTCACAATATGAATAGCATTGAAAAAGTTTGATTTGTATATGCCTGTCCTATTACTGCTATTTTCCCCGTGTTGTTGCTTATAATTTGTCAGTGAAGCAGTAGCCATTCCCTCATTTCATATCAATAACCACAGCATTACATCATGATTGCTCACTTAGGTACATTTTACCTCAATCATCCACTCATAGGAATAATCAGATGTACGCAATTCCCACTCTGGTCTTCAACATCAAAGCCCATTTTCCTTTCTCCTTCCCAGATTTCATGTGTGTCTCTCAGGCTTCCACGCCAAGTGTCCCATCCACAGTCCAATTATGGTGCATTTTTATGTTGTTTTACCAGTGCTCCCATTTGATTTCTGAAATTACAAATGCAACACACACACACACACACACACACACACACACACGCACACACACACACACACACACACAAATATCCTAATGGAGTCAGGTTCTGAAAATAACTTTTTACATACTAAAACGTGTATGACACAAATACGCATGAGTATCTTTGAAGAACATCTGTATGTCACATTGACAAATATGGGCATTTTGAACCAGTAGTAATTAGCATGATAGGAATTAAGAAACTTAGGGAAATGCAGTTTTCTTTTTCTAAATGTTCCAGAGTTCTTTCTCTGGAAAGGCAAATGGCTCAGCAAGGAGCCTTTGGCTTCTAAGGTTTTCGTCCCGCTGTACATGGCAATTTCTAGGTACCACCCACAAGGATTTCCTTGCACTGGATTTTTGGTACTTTTTCTCGGGATTTTATGAAGAAAGCTTTTTTTCTCCCCCCTCAAATGCCTTTGGCTTCTCTCTCTTCTGATGGGCTCCAGAAAAGGTTGGATTGCTGTGGTTTACTTAGCTTTTCTCACGGTTTGGCTCAGAGTGACACCTTTCGCAGGTTTCTACATTCAAATCAAAGGTTATTTAGAATTCATTTTAAAAGTTCACAGGAAACACATAGCAAGCATGACGAAATAGTGGGTTTTAGTGCAACCTGTAACAAATTTCAAAGGATTCAAGTCCCCCCAACCCCATTTCTGCCTGGGTTCTTCCTTCAAAGATATATAAGAAGCTAGAAATCAATTAAATGAAGAGCACTTGGGTAATCAACAACTACTTTGAAACTCAGCATGTACCTATAGGAAAAGGAAACAAACAAAAAAAAAAAGAAAGAAAGACAGAAAAAAAAAGAAGAAAAGATGCCCATTCACCAAGAAGAAAAAAACACAATGGGTATTGAAAGTGCATTACCATTAACCTAAAGTCTCCTACCCATCAAATCAGTTGAGGTAGAAGAAAGAGTCCTCTTAGTTCTCTTAATTGCCAAAGAGCCTCCTCTTATTTTGATGTAAAACGATAGGGACATGTCCCATGTGACATGGGCATGCTTATACTTCAAGCACCCTGGTTCCAAGCAAGAGCTTCAACAGAAACCCACACACAGACAGGCAACCAACACCAACACCTTTCCCCTCAAACTCCAGGCTGCGCCCCATGTCACAGGAAGGCTGTTACTGCTTCAGCTCTGGTCACCCCA